TTATCATTGAGCGTCAATTTCTTTCACTCTACAATAACTTACATAATCATTACCCCAGGTTTGTGGAGAGGATGCAGGAGAGAAAAGTGTGTCTTGCCCTTCCCTGGGAGAAGACAACACACTTCTGTTGGGCTTGGTCATGTGACTGGCTTTGTCCAATCAAATGTGAGTGAAAGTGACAATTGTCACTTGGGGAACATCTTTTAAGAGCTGCCTCTTGCATCCCCTTGCATCTCCATCAGCCTGGGTTCCAGAGCAAAGGAAGCATGGAACAGAGCTGCAGCTGATCTATGACAGACACAGAGCACGAGCAAGAAACGAAGCTTTGTCATAGCCCCTGGGATTGCAGCATCACGTGTTACTGCCTCCTAAACTGGCCTTTCACACATGGGGAGCACTATGGACAGTAAGCCAACAAGATGGCAGTCCCTTCTCTCCACTGCTTCTCAGAAGAGCCAAAAGAAAATCATTTCCAGCATTCTGTTGCTTTCTGACCTTGTGCTTTCTTTATTTGAATAATATTTACAGACTTTTGCCTCTCGCTTCCCCCGCCCCGGGTCCTCTTGGGTTCACAGTCCAGGTGCTGAGGCAATGGGAACTGTGTTTCCCCACACTCCGGTCTCCCTGGCCCGCAGGCCCCTGGGAGTGCGAACTGTATCGATTCCGTACCCGTGTCCCCTCAGACACTTCAATCTGTGCCAACTTGGGAAAGCAGTTTGGATCATGAAACACCTTGGTGCTCACAAATTTCCGCAGAATCTGATGCCATCCTGGTTTTCCTCCAAACAAGAACAAGTCCTTTATGCCACAGATGCAGGAAGCAAAGATCAGGGCAGCAACACAAAACCCACTGGGCTTTTCCATCTGAAATCCCAGAGTCCTGCCTGGGAGAGAGGAAACTGCTCCCATTTGGAGTTACATCTTGCCACCCTTCACTCCTTTCTTCATTCACACGAAGTCAAAAGTAACAAATGCCTCCGAAAGCTATTTTACCAAGGGAAAACTGTGAAGTAAGAGCAGCAGCCCACTTACAAAAACGCTGATAGATTTTCACATTTAAGCAACTAATGTGGTAAGCACTGTGGAAACGCGTATCACATCTAAACGGGAGAACATCCGGGGCTTTCTGCCGGAGGCCCTGCTAACCTGGACTTCTCACCACGAGCATCGGATTCCTGGTTATCATTGTCTGTTGCAAGGGCTGGCGAAATTTTTCTGGAAAGGGCCAGAGAGTAAATAGTTTAGGCTTCGTGGGCCCTACAGTCTCTGTTGCACCTACTCACTTCTGCCCTTGCAGCAGAAAGCATCCATGGACAATACATAAGCAAACGGACATGGCTGGGCTTCAAAAAAACTTTATTCACAAAAACAGATCGAAACTGGCAAAAAGTTAGCCACTGATGATTAAGTAGCTGGGAACTAAAGGTTTTGTTTCTTTTTCCTTTTTGCAGTTACTGATTATTGTTTTTACTTGTTTACCTGCCCACTGTTAACTGTGCTGTTTAGGCAATATCCTATCTTACTCCCACCAGGCTCCTATAGATAATGTCTCCCTGGCACCTGGGTCACCATGGTAATGGGTGTTTGAGCTGTTTTTGAGGCATTGGAATCCCTTTGTCCACTTCAGGTCAGTTGAGACCACCAACCCATCAAGTGGACGCATACAGATGTCCATTAAGTGATTTTTTGACATCAAGAGGCTAAAACCTCTACCCTTGGATCATGCTAACAATGCCATTTTGTGAACACGCGTCCTATGAAGAGGCGTGGAGTCCGACTGTGCTTGCACAGATCATCATTACCTCACCTCCACTCTCCTCTCTCCACATTTCAGACCTCCTTACCTCCCTACCCCATAAATATTCCTAAGTCCCCTTTTTCAGGGGGGTGGATTTGAAACTCGTTCTCCTGTTTCCTCACTTAGCTGCCTTGTGATTAAACTCCCTTTCTGCTGCAATCTTGGCACCTCCGTATTTGGCTTTCCAGATGATGGGCTAAAATGAAGCTGGTTCGGTAACACAATTTGTAAGCTGATGCTTGGTCTTTTAGGCTCCTGTTTGCAGGTGTGGTTTGCTGAACACTGGTCCATTAGATCTACCCAGGACAGAAATAAAACTATTAATATTTTTGAATAATTCTTTAACTTGAGTCTTCATAAAAATGACATAAAGAATTAATCAAGAATAAAATCAAAATTATATAGAAATGTCTAAACTCTTCACTTTAATGTGGCTATATTTAACATACACATATATATTTGTATCAAAGTATAAAAAGTATTAAATGAGCTTTCATAGGAACTTGTAATTCTTCGCAAGAAAATACTAAAATCCTTGAGGAGACATCATAACATGTATAAGTTAGGATATTGCCTAAGCTGCTATAACAAAGAGACCCAAAATCATACTGGTTTTACAAAATGGAAGTATATTTCTCTCTCTCACCATGCCTAACACACGGCATCCATATCTGGCTTATCCATCATCTCCATGTGCAGCCATTAGGAAAGGAGACAGAGGCAAGGAGAAATCACACCCAATTCATTGTGGGCAAGGGGCTTAAGTGAAAGTAGCACACATCACTTCTGTACACATCCACTGACCAGAATTCACTCACACGGCCACAGCCAAGCTACTAGGAAAGTTGGGAAATGTAGTCTTAAGCTGGACAACCACATCCTCGACTAAAATCTGGGCATTCCAACATCATAAAAAAAGAGGAGGATGGGGAGATCATGCATTGGTAAACAAGTGGCAGTCTTTTCTACACACCACCATGGAAAAGACCTTGAGTACTGCAGGCAGATTGATCTGGTTTCAGATCCTGGCCTCACTGCTTACCAGCTATGTATTATTGGGGATTATCTACCTTCTTGAGCTGTAGCTTCTTCATCTGTAAAATGAGATTAATGATAGTATTCACTCTTGACTCTCCTTTTTCATTTACTTATTTATTTATTTTTGGTGAGGAAGATTGGCCCTGAGCTAACATCTATTGCCAATCTTCCTCCTTTTGCTTGAGGAAGATTGTGGCTGAGCTAACATCTGTGCCAATCTTCCTCTATTTTGTATGTGGGATGCCACCACAGCATGGCTTGACGATGGTGTGTAGGTCTGTGCCAGGGATCCAAGCCTGCAAACCTTGGGCCACTGAAGCAGAGTGCATGAACTTAACCGCTACACCACTGGACTTGCCCCTTGATTCTCCTTTTTGGAAGTTCTACCCACATCCCAATCATCCTCATTAGGGAGAGAAATCTAATCAATTAACTAAGCTCCGAATCCAGGCTAACCCATCCAAAAGCACCAAGGGAGTGAGTATTCAACCTTGCCCATTCCTGGGTTCTAATCAGCAACACCAGCAGTGAGAAGAGGCCACATGACATGGTTTCCATGACCAACACTGACTTGAATTAGAGTCGGGGGGGAAAGCAACAGTCCTATTATGCAGAAGCTTCCTTGAGCACACAGCCTCCAAGTTTTCATAAGTAACATTATTTTCTTTGTGATGTCATCCCTTTTTCTCTTGCACAAAACTTTTGCCAAAAACCCATGGACCTTCGCCCAATGAAGGAATAGCCAGATCAGGTGGGGCTCTGTCTCTTATTACTGTTTCCTCATTTGTATGGTTTTTTTCTAGTTGCAATGTCATTAACACGGGGGAGGAGCCCTGAGGCAACGATGCTGGAAGTGGAGCAACGGAGTGCAACCTCAGCTGAACTCTGGGCTCCAGTCTATCATACTTTTTCCTTGGCTCAAACCATTGTGCAATTACTGGAATGTAAATCTTGTCGAGTTTCTCCCCTGTGTTTTGTCTTTCTCTCCATAAGGTCTTAGTGACTTCAGACATTCCACTTTTAGTAATAAGACCTAATACTTTCTCCAAAACAATAGATTTCCCCTTCAGATCAATACTTCCTATTTAACACCTACTTTTTCAAGTTTTTGCAAGGGCTTAATGAGGTGATGCATGTAAAGTTCTTAGAACGAAGCCTAACACACAGTAAATGATGCAACGAAAGCTGGCTGCCCTACAAACAACATAGAATGGGCTCTGATATTAACTTCCAATCCTTTACCCCTAAGAAGTGGGTCAAACCACTATCCAAATGTATCTAATGGAATTATCTCTGTGTTTTGGCTTAAATTCTCCATTATCCAGTCATCTTGCTCCCATGCCAGAGCAGTCTGCACTGAAATATCAAAAGACCAATTACTAATATCAGGGAATTCCCTGACTGCAATTACTCAAAGGACACACCTTAAATTAAAGATTAAAGTTGCACACAACAGCTGTGCAACTAAAGAAGTAAGTGTCCCATGACATGCATGGCAAATGCCTACCACCAGTTCCTTATTACATACGAATGGCTTCTCTCTGTTTGCTAGCCAGGGCCATCTCTCTCTGGCTCCCTCAGCAGTTTCTCTCTCTGCCCAATTGCCTCTCCTAAGGTAGTCAAAGGGAGATTTATAGTCAGCTCGTTTTAGGATAAAGAAACTTCCAGATTGAGACTGTCTCCCATTGGCCAAGACCACAAGCATGATGGCTCATCCATTGATATACTAGATGTGCTCCCCATCTCTGCAAAACTCTTGGGGGATAGGATTTTACATTTTGTGCATAATACTGTACATGCTACTTTATAATATGCTGAAAATTTATATAAAAATTAGAGTTGCGGTTAATTTTTAGGTTCTTTACAATAATTCCCCAAGCTAATGTTAGAGCCTCATTTCTTACCAACCTGCCAGGAGTTTCTAGTTTAGTCAATTCATCTAGGCATCCTTTCCTTTCAATGTCATTCATTCATTCTGTATTTTTGTGTGTGTGTGAGGAAGGTTGGCCCTGAACTAACATCTGTTGCCAATCTTCCTCTTTTTGCTTGAGGAAGATTGTCACCGAGCTAACATCTGTGCCCATCTTCCTCTACTTTATGTGGGATGCCACCACAGCATGGCTTGACGAGCAGTGCTAAGTCCACACCTGGGATCCAAACCTGAAAACCCAGGGCCAGTGAAGTGGAGCACACAAATTTAACCACTACACCACCAGGCCAGCCCTCATTCAGCACTTTTAATACATGCTGTTGTTTGCCAGTCACTGAGTTACTGGCACTGAGTTACTTTCTTGAAGATAAAATGATAAGGAAGATAAACAAAACTTGTCTTTATAGTTTAAAATTGTTTTCAGCATACTAGACTTTTTCTGCTTCTCTCTACCAGGAGTTCAACGCAGAACAGCTGCTCCGTTGCTCTCTGCCTGTGCAGAGTACTTGAAGCCCTTATTCTCCGTGGAGGCTTCCCAAATTACTGCAGCCCAGAGTGATCAGAGCATCCTTCTATCTCATGCCCAAGCCAATTAAAAGTTTCAAGGTTGTGGGTTAAACACAACAGAAACCAATTCTGACTATTTCAGATTTTAAAAGTAAATTTATTTGAAGTAAAGTTTTACTTTATCGAGACTGAAAATTATGAAATGGTTGGAGGACCTGGTGAGAACCACGGCAATGGGGAGAGGAGCCAGGAGGCGAGAATGCTGACATCCTTCTTTTAGCCTGAACAGTTCACTGAAGATAACACCACCAGGACCGTTTGCTGTGATGCCACTGCCCGTGGACACCAGAGCAACTACTGCGAGCCACATCAAATGTTCGCACAGCCACAGACTCAAATCGACAAGGTGGGCGCACCTGATGGGACAGACTGCAATCTTGTGGCTGCCGGAGGGTTGACGGAGGAGGCAGTCTCACCCTCCAGTTTCCATCCTGGGCGGTGAGGGCGCCGTCTCTCCCATCCTCTACACGCAGTGGAGGTTTCCTTCAAAACTAGGAAGGGAAGTCAGAATCTGAGCCACCAAAGAAATGACAAGGTCCCCTACAGCAATCGTGACTATATCATCAGACCTTTTTAAAATTATTATTATTATTGCTTCTATCAGCCTCTCAAATTTGCACTATTTATTCCCTTTAAATGGATTTAAAATTTGTAGCCAACTGTCTCCTCCAACTAAGCTCCTTCAGGACGAGAACATGTGTTATATTCTGTCCATCACCTCAAAATGACTCGCTCACAGAAGGTTCTTGGGAAGTGATTTACAATCTAATAAATGCCTGGGGTTTATCTCCTCTTTTCTGATATTTAGTGTTACCAATAATGGAGAATTTGAGACTTCAGAACAAAATTCCAAGATGTTTTATAATTATTTACAATGGCGTCTATTTGACAACATGTGGCCTGTTTACTTTTAGACAATGGGAGAGCGCTTATGATTAGAAACAATAGAACACTCAGTATTAAGTAAATCTTAACATCTGCTGTTTGGCCACTTGAGGGGAAACAGTTTTCTAACAAGTGGCAACAGTCAAGAAAGCTATGAAATTTAGGCCAGTTGTCGAAAAAATAACTTCTTAGTTGCTAAGCTACAGTCTTAAAAAGAGCTCAATTAGGGGAAATACGCAAGGCTAATTAGATCCCCCCCATTTGAGAGTAGAAAGTGATAGGTGTCAGGTGCTTCTGGTGGATGTGGGGCAGGCAAGATGATTGACAAACTGGTCTTTGCTTGGCATGAAATTTGGCTTTGATTTAGTGAATGACTGACAGGCTACTCTCATCGGAAAACGGGGATTGTGTGTGGGAGGGGCTATTTCGCAACAAAGTGATTGACACATTACAGAAATTGTCCCATAGATGGAGAAAACCAAACAGAGATTTGTTTTGACAAGCATTTCGTTTTCACCTGTTCATTTTGTATACAGAGAAGAGAGAGAGGGGAAGCCCTCAGAGGTGCTAACTGACTTATCCAGTGGATATCAGAATGGCAAAGGCCTCGTGGAAGCAAGGAGAGGACAGGGCATGGTGAGGAGGTGGGAGGGGTGTGTTCCAGGCCAGATTCACCCACGACTGGGCTGTCTGGAGAAGTTAAAGGAGCTCTTTAGACTCCACTTTCACATCTGCTAAATGAGCAGCTTGAACTAAGATTATTTCTATATTCTATTCCAACCACGTATAAGTCTATGTAATTTTTTTCGCGGACAAATATTATTTTGCCACTTCTCCTGCATTGTCATGCCACAAGCCACGCCTGGCCCATCAGATGATATCATTTCCTAAGCCATGGTGATTGGTTCATGGATGTGCACATGACCCAAATTGTTCTAATGGGACACAACCCTGGGACTTATAGATATTAGAATTTTAGAAAATAAGCCCCCTTTCACTAAGGCTGCTATATTAATAGGATACAAGTCTAGAAGTACTGGCAGCCATCTTTGCCACCTCATGTGAATGGGGTTGCCAGAAAAATACAGGAGGCCATGTGTCCCAAATATTGCATAGGATATACTTAAAATTTAAAAACTTTTCTTTGCTGTTCTGAAGTTGAAATTTATCTGAGTATTCTATTTCTATTTGCCAAATCTGGCAACTCTACATGTAAAACTTCTGCTTGGGAATGAAGCCAACATAGGCAGAGTGGAACCGAGAGTACAAAGAACCATTCCTGGTGGAATAATTCAAGTACCAGGATCCAGCCATGCCGAAAGCTTTCTCTAGCCATGCTTTTCTCGGATCAAAGCAAAGAAAACCCTTTTGTACTCTCTTTTAAGCTCAATTGAGTTTGGGTTTTCTGTGACAACCAGAGAACTCTCTCTCCTTCTCCCACTCCATGCTTTTTCCTCTCACTTTAGCTGTTGGGTTAGGTTCTCATTGGAGGCAGTGTGATTATACTCTGTACAAGGTGAGGCATTTCCTGGGAGTGTGTCTTACTGCCATCAAAATGGCCACTTCTCTTTTTGAATTATAGTTAGTTTTTCTGGTGATTTCTAACTTTCATCTTCCTCTAAGTTCCTTGATCACTATCATTATTTGTCCTAAAGTGAACAATTAGTTATAGGAAAATCTTTTAAGGAAGTTAGAAGCTGAGAAGTGATTTAGAAATGTAATTGTTACCTGTCGCTAAAAACCTTGAAGAAATAACTCCTCCCATTTCCTGCCTTTTTTCAAGGAAGTCGACCAACCCTCTTTCTGACCAATGAAATTTTTGTGTTATTCATAAGCTACATTGTCTCAAAAAGGATTTGAATCTGCTCCGAGTGGTAAAAAGACTTGCTTGTCTCATTAATCGGTGCTTTTGGAGTGTAAGTAACTGAAAACTATTTAGCTGATGCAAAATGTCCAGTTATTTTTTTATATGGGTAGAGGTATCTCAGAGAACACACAAGACTGAAATACAGCCAGCCCTCAGAAAGAGACTGGATTCAGCTACTAGAAAGCGATCCCAGATATTTCCTCTCTCCTTTCCTTTCATTCATTTCCATTTCACTTTCTTTAAACTATGATCATTAAAGACGGGTTGCCTTGGGACCAGCCTAGTGGTGCAGTGGTTAAGTTCACACATTTGACTTCAGTGGCCTGGGGTTTTCAGGTTCAGATCCAGGGTGCGGACCTACACACCACTCATCAAACCATGCTGTGACGGCATCCCACATACTAAATAGGGGAAGATTGGCACAGATGTTAGCTCAGTGACAATCTTCCTCACCAAAAAAAAAGAGAGAGAGAGAGAGACAGGTTACCTCTGTGCTTAATCTGCTTGGTGGAATTTGGCTGCCCCAGATGTTACATGATCCAGATTCAGTGATGGGAACTAATTTGCTCAGTGCCAGTTCCTGGAAGACAGAATGTGATTGGCTCGCTTGAGTCAGGCGTTCTTGCTTAGTCCAGTCGAGGAGAAATACATAATACAAACATGGCTGCTGAGGACCCATCTCTGTGGATTGCAGCCCATGCCCAGAGTTAAGAGAACTTCTCTGAGTTGCCAGCAAGCTAGTTATTAAGCTATTGTTCCTCAGCTCCAAACCCCTCCTCTATACTCTGCTCTGTGAAGCCAAGGGCTGGGACCCTACAAATTGCATAGCTCCTAGGCCAGCTAGACATGAAAGGATGTCTAAAATAGAATTTCAGCAAATCCAGCCTGGCTAAACTTGGCTGTGAGAGTAGATTGGTAATTCAGATGCCTACCACCAAGAATGCTGCATGGTCCCGTGAAGTTCAAGTCCAAACAGGAGTTGAAGTGTCTGTCTACTGCTTATTAAGGATCAATGGAAAAAGGGAAATTTGTAAAAACTCTTTTTCAAAGAAATCTATAAATAGCAGCTCTTGAAATCATCTCAAAGTGTCTCTAATGTGTCCACATTTGAAGAATTTTATTTTAAGAAACTTACTTCTGTAGAGTCCATTGTTGTGGAGTCTAAGGGGAAATAGAGGGACAACTGTGTTTGTAGCTTCAAGTGCCATAGGAGTCAACACATTGTGTAGACACAGTGGAGCCTAGAGCTCCCTGGAGCACAGGTTCTGGATGTGGACTACCTGGGTGAACATCCTGTCAGCTCCCTGTGACATTGAACATGGAACACAACCTTGACGTGTCTCTGTTTCTTCATCAGCAAAGTTGAGCTACTGTGCGTAGCTGCATATACAGTGGTGAAGACTGCATGAGCTGATCCACAGCTCAAGATGGTGAGTTATCTTGGACGGCCAAGTCTTTAGGCCTGGACTAAAGTAAGTACTCAGTAAACGTCCGCATTATCCTATTTATTCTTAATGGCCTTCTGGTTCTTGAGGTTTCTTGCATTTTATCTCAGAGGCTATGCAGAACCATGAGAAGGAATTCAGCCATCTCTGCTAAATTTCTTCTTTGCAGAGTGACTAGGACCCAGAGAAAAGAGAGAAAATAGTGTAGACACCCTAAGCATAGAGCTCAACGAAATATGATGGCTTTGGCCATAAATGCCGCTTTATGGCTGTCTGTAAAGCTGCCCATCAAGAAGCTCCCGACAGATGACCCACAGTGATGAGAGGAGGAAGGGAGCGGCACTGCAGAACATTCCACCTGACGGGGACACAGATCATGGGAAGGGCATTCTCATCAAGCACAGGGTATCTTTCAGTTCTTTCTTCCTCCTTCGTATCCTCTGGCCCAGCCCCTCTACTTGTGTCCCTGCCTCTCAGTTTCCAGCTGCCATTCATTCATTCATTCATTTTTTTCATTGAATTATATTTTAATTAACTCATATTCATTCAAACATTATTCATGACTTTTTAAATTACTCAGATAGCAGATATTTATCGTACTAACAACTGCAGATTAGATTTATTGGACTCTTTCTAGATGGTAGGTTCCTTGATAAGTTGTTAACACTAACAACAGCATCAACATTTATTGAGCATTTATTCTGTGTCAAGCACCTTGGTAATTGTTGTGCATGAACTATTTCATTTTATCTTCACAAAAGTTGTCTGGGATAAGATGCTATTATTAACAGGATTTTTACAGGTTGGGAGAAGTGTCTTAGAGAGTTTAGGCAAATTGTCGAAAGTCACACAGCTAGTAAATTAGAGAGTCAGGTTTCAAAATCATGTCTATCTAACTTAAAACAAGTACTCAACTTTTGCTTGGGACAGTCTCAACAGATCTAAAATTCCAGTGTTTATCATTCTTGCTCAGTAATGAATTCATAGGGAAAGTGATACTTGATCTGTGTTGTAAAGTGTGGACAAGGAGACCACTAAGAAAATGATTTAAGAAGGTATTCATTCCAATTGAAAACAACATACTAAAGAAAACAGGGAAGCAGAAACCCACAGCATGGCCCCATTTTCCCAGCATCACTCATTGAAAAGGTATTAATATGTCATCATCAATTTGACAAAAGCAAATGGTGAGTTAAAAATCTTTCCATTGAAAATGACAGGGAATCCAACTCAAACTGGCTTGAAGAATAACGGGATGTATAAACTTGCATCAGTGAAAAGGCCAGAGGCAGGACCAGCTTCAGGTACAGTTTGATCTAGAATCATCAAGGACCAGTTTTGTTCCTTTCCATATTTCCTCTTTGCATTCCAAAGCATCAGTTGCTTCTTCAGTCCTCAAATGGCTTCCCATTGGCAGTTCCGTGGTCTTCTGACCTAGTAGTAAAGAAGCCGTTCAGGTCTTTATGTCTTCACACCATACGGATCACAGAAGGAGTGGCTTTCAAGGAGGGGAGAGAACTTTCTTTTTCCCAGAAGCCCTAGAAGACTTCTCCACAGGTTTCAGTGGTTCTGACTGGGTTTCTGCCATCATGGATCAAATAATGGCGGCCAGAGAGATGCGATGGGATAGAATTATTGGCTTTAGCCAGTCAGGGTCTGGGCCAAGGATCAATACCACAAAAATGCATGACTGATCATGGGAAAGAAGTAACAGCCCCAAAGCCAACTCCAGCTGGTGTTATCTGAAAGAGGAAGATGAATAGAAGTTAGACCAGCAAATACAATGGGGGTCCACCACGCCAAACAACTCAGTTTGTTTTTTTAACTCTTGAGTGCCCCAAAGCATCTCCCGGAAGCATGCAGCAGCTTAGTTTGGTGCTGTACTAAATTGGAAACCTTACCTTATTCATTACCATCTTGGAAGCATTTTATACACTAAGTGCAATAACATTCCTTTACCATGAATAAATGTAGTATTTTTTTTCTTCCCAAAGTGCCTCAGAAGTCCCAACTTTCAGAATGTCTTCAGTAGAATTACTGTCACTACCCTGCTTTATACCAGCTTTGTCTCCCGCCTAAACAAAAGGTATCAACATGAAACATTTCAATTAAAATCAGATTAAATACTGTGTTTCCTTACAGGGGTGGTATTTCAATTGCAATTCTTTCCATGTTGTTTATTCGACAAATGTGTTTGGCATGTGTAAACTGTTGTGATCACTTTTCTTTTGGTGACATTTTGAGAAAGGGAAAAAACTGCATGGCTCAGTGGATGACACAGTTTGCTACAAGTGGCAATATAAAAATTTGAAATTCTTAAACCATTTAGCATTTCCCCTTCCAGCCACGTTATCTATTGCAGAGAAGTAATATTCTGGGGGACTCAAGCCAATCAGAGGATAGGAGTATAATTTGCACGAAACAAATGTATGTATAAATTATCACTCTCTTCTCTCCTCTCCATAAATAGCGACACTAATAGATCCATAGTGAGAGATACAGGAAGGGATGCCATGTTCAACAATTCATCTTGTCTGGGAAAGGCAGACTTGAGAAACCTGATCAGTTAAGATGCACAGCTCTTCTTCAGCATTGTCCAGCATCTCCTGACTATTGTGGCTGAAGGACCGTGTGTCTCTGCTCTAGAAGAGGGAGCTTGTGTGGGTGGGCAAGAGAAAAAGAGGGAGAGAGACTTACGATCTAAGGCATGTTTTGCAAAATTTGGTTTGAGCAAAATTTATAAAATAGGGAACTTCTTACATAAAAGTTTGGATTACCATCTTCTGCTAAAGATCTGGAGATCTTTCCTAAGAGGAAAAACAATAGCCTGGAGCCATATAGTGGTTTTGTATAGAGGTTGCCTCTTTTAGACAGGGCATATGCATTCCAGTCTGCCTCAGTCTTCACCATTCCCTGTTGCCTCACATCCAGTGCTTTCCATTCTGTTACCATCCTGGACACAACAGGCAGTTGAGTCTATGGCCCTTAGTTTAATGAGGGCCATGTGGACTAATATTCTGGGGACTTTTCAATCCAATGTCCTTTAAAACTTTGTCCAAAATATAGTTAGTGAGGGTGGAGAGAATCTGACTTTTTTAAGACTTTTTTTCAAAATCAGCACTACTTACAATTTACTTCCATTGGTTGAAACAGAGTCAATGTTCTTTAAAAAAGTAAGACAAAATCTTTCCAACTTCTCTGCAGTTTTAGTATTTCTTTGGCATTCTTTTGTGACTTTTCTGAACCAAGCAACTTCTTGGGAGGTATCTTAAAAGGTTTAATATTCACAATATAAATCACATCCCTTGTAAATCACAGCACACCACACATTATGTGGCTCTGGAATTTCTGCTAACCACAACTGCCATCTTTGAGCTGACTACAAACGCTATGTATGCTAGTTACAAAAGTCCTCAACAAAAATATTCCAGGGCTAATAAATGTTATGTTTTTGTACCTTTGCTTCTTTCTCTCTACAGTGGCATATTTTTCGATCAGAGAAGGGCAAGTGTATATTTTCCCAACTTCTTCCATTAGTGTTTCTAAGCTTGTTGGAGATTAGTACCCTGGGCATCTGTCCAGCTGACCTACCCCTCAATTCACTCCTGCAGGAGCAGGGGGAGGCACGATAGAGGAATCACTGAGTCACAGAATGTGTGAGTTTAAAGACTTGGCACTGGGCATCTATAAAGCAGAATTTTGAGAAATTTGCCATATTTTAGTAAGTATGTTACAAACTATTTTCAACTGCCCGTTTTTATTGCATACTTGGTGTGTGCATCTAATTCAGGAGTCAGTGAATTACGGCCCATGGGCCAATCTAGCCAGCTGCTTATTTTTGTAAATAAAGTTTTATTGGAACACAGCCACGCTCATGCATTTACATATTGTCTATGGCTTCTTTTGCACTGCAACAGCAGAGTTGAATAGTTGCAACAGAGGCCAATAGGGCCTGCAAAGCCAAAATAGTTACTGTGCGGTCCCTTAAGAAAAATGTCGCCAATCTCTGATCTAATTCTCTCACATGGTAGAAAAATGTAATTGCTTGTTAGGTGCATTTCCTTTGAATGATTAGTTCCCCCAGACAGAAGCTCCTGTACTCCTTCTCAGGACGCTGGTGACACTTGTAATTATCTATTTACTGGACATCTTCATACTATAATCTGCTTGGGGAACCTCTATTGGATCCAAATATATCAATTAGGAATGCTTTTTCACTTTTTTTTTTTTTTTTTTTAGGAAGATTAGCCCTGAGCTAACTACTGCCAATCCTCCTCTTTTTGCTGAGGAAGACTGGCCCTGAGCTAACATCCATGCCCATCTTCCTCTACTTTATATGTGGGACGCCTACCACAGCATGGCTTTTGCCAAGAGATACCATGTCCGCACCTGGGATCCGAACCAGCGAACCCCAGGCCGCCGAGAAGCAGAACATGTGAATTTAACAGCTGCGCCACTGGGCCAGCCCAGGAATGCTTTTAACTGCAAGTAAGAGAATACTTTTAACTGCGTGGCTTAAACAATGAAGATTTGAATTATCTTGCCTAACAAGAAGCTGGATGCTTCTAAGTCTAGGTGTGAGACAGAGGCCCCAGGATTGTGCAAACCTTCATGGCCTCAGGCTGTGGCTGTCCTTCCTGCACCACTATGCTCGGCTTGCCGACTCTTTGTCCTTATGCATGTCACCTCATGGTTGCAGATTTTTGGCTCCAGCTCCAGGCATCACATCCTCACAGCAACATTCCAAGCAGAGTAGAAAGGACATGAGCATAAAGCTTCCCTCTACTAAGGTTCTGGCTTTTTAACCCAGAAAGAAAACCACCAGTAGGACCCCACCCCCCATTATATGTGTCATTGAACAGAGGGGATCACATGCCTTCCAATAGTCTGTGTTGCTATAATCCCAGTTCTAGAACAAGATGGGAAGCTAGTGGATATTCAATAATAGTGTGTCAAATGGTAGATGGATATATTGATGGATGAAAAGATGAATGATAGACAAAATCTTTCAAACTTGGTCCCCATGGTGGGCAACAGAGGAGAGCAAGTAAGGAGGATCCTTGGTAGTGAAAATGCTGTGGACTTTCACTCTATCTCAACCTTTTCATTTTACAGATAGGAAAAATGAGGCACAAAAATAGAAAGTTAGATATTGTAGTGAATTATTTTGGTTTCTGATTGTCCAACATCTATGCCCCACTTTCTGGTAACAACTCCATAATTTTTCTTTGAGGAACCAACTCTCTCAAACAATGTGATTGAAGTGAGGCAGGTGGCAGCCCTGGCCCCAAGAGAGAGCATCTTTCCCAGGAACAGGAGTATTCCATCCCCCTGACTTCAGGGATTGGTCCAGAGATGGGCACATGTTCCCAGATATACAACCAGAATGAGCACGAAGCTTCGGCACGTGCTGCCGGCAGAAAGAACACAGGCCTGTCTCTAACAGTACCTGGTCCATAATATGTGCTCAGCAAATATTTGTTGAATGAGTGAATGTGTGAATAAACAGCATCTTCCTATGTCAGAAGAGGAAGGGTCCTCGAAGATCAGCTGGCCCACTCTCTACAGAGATAGCCCTAGCATCTCAGGCTCCTGGTGCCAAGTCCACTGAGTTCTCTTTTCCTCCACCCTGCATCATGGCAATAGGAATTCCCAATCTTCCAGCAACCAGCTTCTCCCTCTGTCAAGGCACCACTTGTTTTCCTCATTTCATCTTTCTTCAAGTCCTTGAGTGTTCACATTTCTTGAAGCACATTTTGCCTATGTATTTGAATTCCAGTTCTTTTCATTTGCAACTGAACAAGGAAGATACCAATGACCCTTTGCTGGATTACTTTACCCTCTAAGGGACTTTGGGCTTTATCCTGGCTCTACACCTGTAATCCTTTGTCTCCATTCATGTCTCTCACCAGGTGCTTCTGATCTCTCTCCTACATTCCCACCCTCCACCGTATGCCAGAACCCATCCCTGTTATTGTTCCAGAACGCAGCTTGTACCAATGGTCCCCTGGGCTGACTGGTACTAAGAGGCTCACCTGGGCAGTGAAGTCTGAATCTTCGACCTTCAGTGGAGACATCTCCAGGGCCCTTGGATGTCCAAGTGGGCTGTGTTTTGAGAGTCCTCCCAGGTTAGAGACGGAGGAAACACAGCCTCTCAGACACAGATGGCATCCAGGTGCCGCTTGCTCAGCCGGGCTCCCTCTTGGAAGTCCTAGTGAATCTCCAGCTTGGATGGGTCATAGCCCTTGCATTTTCCTCCACTCCAGCAGGACTCCTGAGGATCTCAACAGTGGTTGAATGGGGACGATATAAGGACTCGATGCTCCTTCTGAAAATAGTCCTGAAATCCTCCCTTTCTAGGGAATCACAAACTGCTTTGTGCCATGAAGAACATCATGGGACAGGATATTTAATTCAAACAGGTAGCTATCCAAACCACAGTGCTCCATGAATTCAACCATCAACCATTATTTCAAAAGTTCGATGTAAGGAACTTTGAAGTAATATAGGTATTTGTGAAGAGTACATTTAAAATATATATATATATACACTCAAAGTTTTTAATTTGAAAACTCACTCTGCCACTTACTCATTGTGTAACCTTGAGCAAGTTACTGAAACCAGTGGTTCTCAAATGTGGTTCCCAGATCCACAGTAGCAATATTACCTAGAGACTTGTTGAAATGAAAATCTTGGGGTCCCCACCCCAGACCTACTGAATCAGAGACCCCAGGGAAGGGAG